TCTAGCTCAGAGTCATATCGTCAGAAGTTCAGCCTCAAATGAAGACTTTCGCACCGTCCGATCCAGCTCAAATTTGGAGAAAATCAAGAGGAGACAACCAGCTTTCCATATCACTTTACATCACAAATATCGAACGGTGCAATCAAACGATACATGGAGAACAAATTGACCCAGTTCACCAGTCTCGGAAGACTCTCACCCGCGGAAAACATATGTTTTACCTGCTCTGGAAGACTCTCACCCCCGGTGGACCTTAGGACGAGCCACAAGACCCAACATCAAAGCCCACTTTGCCATTTCTCTTCATAGAAGCCCTAAATGAGACCTGGAAGACCTTAGGAGCTATAAATACATTGTTTAGCACTCCTAAATGGGTGTGTGCTCGTGTAATGAGATTTTGAGCCACCAAACTTTGTTTTTCTAGGGTTAGGTGATGGAAGGGGGATTCTTCCACAGATCCATTGTTCTTCCTCCTTTCTATCTTATTAACTTTTCTGTTTCATTCTTTGCATTGTTCTATGTCTTTTATCATTCATTGCATCATGTAGATTAGTCCTAGAGAGTCAAGTTGTTTGAAGATATCGACAAGCATATATATCGATTAGGATTTCTATTGTTATTAGCCATATTCTGGATCTCATCTTTTCTAAGTTGTTCATAAAGCATGAGAGTAGACTCATGACATATTCTCTGAGCCTAGAATCGATCAGAGCCACGAGAGTGCTGTATCAGATCATCCGTACCTAGCTTCAGAAGAACATAGTCGTTATAGGAGTCGAGAGCTACCTATAGAGAAGATGTGAGCAGACGAATTCAATGTTCAATGCATGATCTTAAGTTTAGCATGAGAGCGGGATTTAATTAATAGATCTAAGAGATTAGTTGATTAAGGTGATGACAGTTGGTTAATCATACATATGTATATTCTAGTTCAATGCAGATTCCCAGAAACAGATGAAGATAAATCGCCCGGAAGCTAATTGGAAATGCCATCATACATCGATTAGAGTAACCCGGAGAAGTCTAAATCGCCACCTATGAGTTTAAGAGTCTTTAGTTTGAGTCTATATGCTTTGGGTTGACGATTTATTTCTCCATGGTAACTATCATATAGCACCAGATCCACACCGAACTATGACCTCGTTCTATATGTCCATCAAATGAAAGTTTAAGATCTATATCCCCACGAAATGATAGTTCGAATCCTTATTCCCCATGGGTGTTGGTTTTTATGGTTTGTGACGGTTTACGATCTAAACCGAAGAGTTAAACCATTAATCAGCAAAACCTAACAAAAAAAAAACCGACCCGAACAAAAGAAAACCCGACCTCCCCATTTTGGTCCGAAAATCCCCAAATCGAAGAATACACTAAGAACCCTAAAATCGATTCTGGAAAATTGATTGTTCTAATCTGTAATTTCTAAAATCGAGGATAAGTATACTGTCATGGGTTCATATTTGAATGTAAATCATAGTCTATTTCTTCTATTTCGTGGTCCAAAATTTTCTCGACTTCAGTTGCATCTCGATCGACTTCTTCTTCATCGAAATCGTCTTCGCCAAGCAGACGACGAACGACTAACGCCATCAAAATCGACTTCACCTCTTCTTTCAGCTTTAATTTTCGAATTTGATTTCTAGGGTTCTACGATTTGGGAATTTTTCTAATTTGGGGATTTCAGTGTTAGGGTTGGGAACAGGTTTTGACTGTATTTGGGTTTAATAGGTTTTCTCGGTTTATTATTACTAATCGGGTCATAATCCGGATTGTGATTGGTTTATCTACCCTTATACATGGTTTAGGTTTGTTTCGAAAACGGTAAACCACCTAAAACCGAGCTTAATGGGGTTTTAGATTTCGAACTTTTATAATGTGGGAATAATCGTGGGGATATAGATCTTAAACTTTCATTTAATATAAATCGTCAACCCATATGCTTTAGATGTTCTTTTAACAATTCATCCTGCGTTGCATTTCTTGTGAATATTAGATTAGGTTTAGTTTAGGATCTTAACCAAAAACCCCAAAAACTTTTATTGGTTTATGAGTTTGCTTACTTCCAGTTTGTTGTTTCTCACAGATTAGACATCCTCCATGTGGATCGACACCCTAAATCCTACAACGTACATCTGTGCACTTGCAAACACTAGGGTTTTATAAATTTAAAACTTTTGGAGGACCAACGGGCTTGTAAAAAAAATAACCCTAGGCCCGCAAGCCCATCAATATATCCATCAGAAATGTCGGGATTTAATTACCTGACAATTCTTTTCTTTTTCCTCATTTCTGCTGTTATTATTTTTTTCCCCATCGCAATTTCTAGCGATTTTAGATGATTCTCTGGCGATTTCAGGCGGATTCTGGCGGGTTCAACTGCAATTCTTGTTGGGGTCGGTTTTCACCCCAAGTAGATAAACCACCTCAGAATGGCTAAGTATGGAAGAAAGATAAGTGGGAGAGCCGTGGTCGCCAAGTGGGAGAGCCGTGGTCGCCAAGTGGGAGAGCCGTGGTCGCCAAGTGAGAGAGCCGTGGTCGCCAAGTAGGAGAGCCGTTCTCACCATGACAAGTGGAGAGCCGTTCTCACCAAGACAAATGGGAGAGCCGTGCAGATAGGCCAGTAGGGAGAGCCGTGAAAGAAGACAGGTGGACCGAGCGGCATCGAAAGAAATGGGCCGAGCCCCACTTCAACACGTTTGGGCCGAGCCGTGTATCGGTGCGGTGGGCTAGATCATGTCTCCATGGCAAGTGGGCCGAGCCGTGAAGAAGGCTAGATGGGCCGAGCCGTAAAGAAGCTTGGACGGGCCGAACCAAAGCCTTGAAAGATGAAGCCCATGGAAAACCCTAGGCGAGATGCAAAGGCGGTCAGCCGCACGAGGCGATAAGGAAATATTCCGAAAATCTCGCCCGAGATTTTTGGCTATGCGGTTTAGAAAGTTAGTATAAATATATGATGTATGCAATTCATTCCGCCAACTTTGGCAACCCTAAGCAATAAGGACTAAACACTTTACAGCAATAAAAATCCTCTTTTGATCTTACTGTTCTTGCGATTACCCTAGAAGTTTCAGATCCCTTAGTTTCTCTTCACAAATTCTTGGTTGTGCGAGTTTTGGCTCACACAATTTGGCGACGTCTGTGGGGAAAACGAAACTTTCTTACTCTAAATCGACAAGGCTTTAAGATCCGAAGAATATGGCGAGCAACGCTAACGATGATAACAACAACACCGGTAACGGCGCGGGGAAGGACGCTCCAGCATCAGGCACAACAACGGCGACGACCGAAACCCAAGAGGAGATGCGATACATGATGGCTACGTTGATGAAAAAAAATTGACGACCAAGACAAAAGAAACAAGGCGATTACGGTGAGGCTCGACGCGATGGCGGCTGAGCGACAACACTCGACTTGGAGAGCCGAAATCCCCGACCCGATGGATGGAATTCGGAGACGCTTCGATTTCTCGACACCCGCAGAAGCCTCAGGGAGTGGCGCAAGAAATTCCTCGGTTCTTCGTCCCCTCGACGAACGTACTCCCACAGCAACCCGAATCAACATGACCGAGCCGCCTCCACTACGCCGGAACTCCAGGCGACGAGCCGGTGAGGAAGAGGACGATGCGATTGACGTAGACGCCCAGCAGAACGACGAAACCACGAATCCTCAACAAACTGGCTCAGCTCGCCGAATTAGTCAAGAAGAACTCGCCTTGGCACTGAACGGCATCCGGACTGACGAAGTCTTCGATCCGACCCGTGGCGATAATCCAACCGAGGTGGAAGAAAACCTCCAATGGATCGAGCAGGCAGAACGCGAAGACGAGCCGAGGCGAGAGGAGCGGGAGTGACCCCCCCAATCAAAGGGAATGACTCACGCACAAACTCTCGAGCTCAAAGAGCTGCGAGCCTCGATGGCTCGGACAGTGGCTGAAATACGCGCCATGAAATCTCAAGTGCACAACGCGACGAGCGCCGCGCCCGAAATCGACCGAATGCTTGAAGAAACTCAAAGAACCCCGTTCACTGCAAGAATCACGGAGGCCAGGATTCCCGAGCCGGGGAATGTGAGAATCCCGTTCTACGAAGGAACAACCGACCCAAAAGCACACCGCATTTCGGATAGCAATGGGACGAGCCTTCACGAAGAACGCCGCTAAACTCACCGAGCGCAAAGTGGATGCCGGATACTGCCTGCTCTTCGTGGAACATCTCAAAGGAGCCGCGCTCGAATGGTTTTCGAGGCAGGAGCGCAATTCGATCAGCGGTTTTCAACAGCTCTCCGCTTTGTTCCTCAAACAATACTCGATGTTCATGGACAGAGGAATAAGCGACAAGGCTGCGCTCGAGGCTCTGAAACGATCTTTGTGGTACAAGTCTGAGTTCCGACGAGAGATGGCTCTCAACAGGCCGCAAACAATTCAAGACGCTTTGCACCGATCATCAGACTTCTTCGTGAACGAAGAGGAGATGAAAAACTTAGACGAGCAGTATGAAGCAACGAAAGCAGCAATCCGAAGCTCAATTTTGCCGCGCCCCACGAAGAAGGGCAACCCATCAAACAATACAACAACGTTAAGCTCGGATGAACCTAGAAGCGGAGGAGCCCATAACTACCAGGTGGGTGTCGAACGCGGAAGAGGAGAGCCGCACAACAACACTTGGGTGAGAAAGTCCGCCAACTACGACGAGAAGGCTTTCTGCGAGTATCACCAGACGTACGGACACTCAACGGCTCAATGCAGAACTTTAGGAGCAAAGCTCGCAGCTAAGATGGCAGCGGGAGAGCTCCAAAACGCGGTCAACCTCAAAGACCTCGTCCCAAACGAACAACAAGAGAGAGCCGAGCCGAGCGGCACGGCGGAACCCGCAAATCCTCCCAGACGAGGTGATAACTCCAAGCGTGACAGGAGAGGCGAACCTGAAGAGCGATCCGAGCCGAGGCAAAGGATCAATATGATCATGGGTGGATCCCAGTACTACCAAGATACCGTATCCTCCATCAAAGCCTATCAGCGTCGAGCCGAGGCAAAAGAGAATTGGACAGAACCAACCGACGTCCCAAACACAGTGATCTCCTTCGCCGAGGAGGAAACGGCAGGAATCGATCGACCCCACAACGATCCGTTGGTGATCGAGTTAACAATCAGGGATCATGACGTATTAAGGGTGCTCATCGACACTGGAAGCTCGGTAAACGTCATCTTCAGAGAAACGCTCCAAAGAATGGGAATCGACCTCTCCGAGGTGGAAGCAATCCCCAAACCTCTAACCGGATTTTCAGGAGAAACGACGATGACTATGGAAACGATCAGACTTCCCGTGGTAGCTGGCGGAGTCACTAAGATCGTCGAATTCTGCGTCACTGATCACCCAGCAATCTACAATGTGATCATGGGAACTCCCTGGATCAACGGGATGCGGGCAGTACCCTCCACTTACCATATCTGCCTCAAATTCCCAACTCCATCAGGCGTCAAAACGATCTGGGGGAATCAGAAGGAGTCACGAATGTGCTGCCTAGCCGAGCACAAGCTGAGGAACGCCGTCACCGACGCGCGAGCAGACATAGACCGCAAAAAGATGAAGACAGACAGAGAGCCTGCGAACGAGCTCTCCAAACTCTTATAGCAATTACAGATCGCGGAGAGCCGCGAAACACGCACCGAGCCGGTATATGACGCAGTGGACTCGGTGTGCATAGACGAGGCGCATCCGGAGCGATGCGTTGAAATTGGAACACAAGTAGGAGAGCCCCTGAGAAGCAAGCTCCTTTCCCTCCTCAATGAGAACATCAACACCTTTGCCTGGACAGCGGAAGATATGCCAGGCATAAGCATCGACGTAACCTGTCACGAGCTGAATATGGATCCGACCTTTAAACCAGTCAAGCAGAAAAGAAGGAAGCTCGGCCCCGAACGAGCTAAAGCAGTGAACGACGAAGTCGAGAGGTTACTCAAAGTGGGATCAATCGCCGAGACCAAATATCCGGACTGGCTCGCAAATCCGGTGGTCGTGAAGAAGAAGAACGGCAAGTGGCGGGTCTGTGTGGATTTCACTGACCTCAACAAGGCGTGCCCAAAAGACAGCTTTCCTTTGCCACACATCGACCGGCTCGTCGAAGCCACTGCAGGAAACAGGTTGTTAACATTTATGGACGCTTTCTCTGGCTACAATCAAATTCTGATGCACCCTGATGATCGGGAAAAAACGGCGTTCATAACCGATCGCGAGATATACTGCTACAAAGTCATGCCGTTCGGGCTCAAGAACGCAGGAGCAACGTATCAACGGCTCGTCAATAAAATGTTCGCGGCTCAGCTCGGAAAAACCATGGAAGTGTACATCGACGACATGTTAGTTAAATCACTCAAAGAGGAAGACTACGTCGCGCATCTACGGGAATGCTTCGAACAATTGAACAAGCACGACATGAAACTAAACCCGGCGAAGTGCAGGTTTGCGGTCACCTCGGGAGAATTCCTCGGCTATCTGGTAACTCACCGAGGCATAGAAGCAAACCCCAAGCAAATCAAGGCGCTAATTGAGATGCCCTCTCCAAGGACGAAGTGCGAAGTGCAAAGGCTCACAGGTAGAGTCGCCGCGCTAAACAGGTTTATTTCCCGCTCCACAGACAAGTGCCTGCCCTTCTACGACACCCTCCGAGGAAACAAGAAATTTGAGTGGGACAAACGGTGCGAGACGGCTTTCCAGGAATTGAAGAGTTATCTGGCGAGCCCACCAATCTTAGCAAAACCAGTCGAAGGAGAGCCACTCTTCCTCTACATCGCAGTGTCTGCTACAGCTGTAAGTGGAGTGCTTATCAAAGAAGAACGGTCCGAGCAAAAACCCATTTTCTACATCAGCTAGACACTGACCGACGCCGAGACTCGCTACCCCCAGATCGAGAAGGTCGCCCTAGCCGTCGTAGTCTCGGCTCGCAAACTGCGGCCGTACTTTCAATCACATTCGATTGTCGGCTCGCCAAGTGGGCGATAGAGCTAAGCGAATACGACATCGAGTATCGGAATAGGTCGTCTGCAAAGTCACAGGTGCTCGCAGATTTCCTCATTGAACTTCCCGCCGAAGCAACGAACGAGCCGACTCTAGATGAAGTGTGGACGCTGCACGTCGACGGCTCGTCGTCTAAACACGGCTCGGGAATAGGAATCCGCCTCACCTCTCCCACCGGAGAAATATTGGAGCAGTCTTTTCGCCTGAACTTCCACGCCTCGAACAACGAAGCAAAATACGAAGCACTGATCGCCGGCATACGACTAGCGCAGGGAATCGGAGTTCGAAAGATTAGAACCTTTTGCGACTCACAGCTCGTAGTATGTCAATTCAACGGAGAATACGAGGCGAAGGATGGACGAATGGGAGCTTACCTCAGAGTGGTCCGAGAGTTGGTACAAAAGTTAGATGAGTTCGAACTCACGCGCATCCTCCGAGGAGAAAACACCTCGGCCGACGCCTTGGCAGCACTCGCCTCGACCTCGGACCCAGACCTCCGACGAACGATCCTAGTTGAATTCATCGAACGTCCTAGCATTGAAGAGGTGGAAGGAGTTTGGTTGATAAATCCTCCCGAACAAGAACCAGAGGACGACAAAGCCATTCCTATGGACGAAGACTCTCAACCGGCCGAGCCAGAGTACGGCTGCGACAAAGAATGGCTCGGAGTTATCCGAGTGTATATCGCCGATGGAGAGTTGCCAATTGACAAATGGGAAGCCCGCAAACTAAAAGCTCAGGCCGCACGATATGTCCTCGTCGATGGCGAGGTGTTTAAATGGAGATTTTCAGGGCCTCTCATGACATGCACGAGGTGCACAGCGGCGCGTGCGGGAACCACTCCAGCAGAAGGTCTCTCGCTATCAAGATAAAACGGCACGGCTATTTCTGGCCCACGATGGTCAAGGACTGCGAGAAATTTACGGCGAAGTGCGAGAAATGTCAGCGGCACGCTCCAACAATTCATCAACCTACCGAGTTGCTCTCGTCAATTTCGTCACCTTATCTGTTCATGAGATGGTCGATGGACATCGTTGGACCTCTACATCGCTCAAAGCAGAAGCGTTTTCTGCTCGTCCTCACGGATTACTACTCCAAGTGGGTCGAGGCCGACTCTTACGCAAGCATAAAGGATGTTCAAGTCGAACATTTCGTCTGGAAAAATATCATCTGCCGCCACAGGGTCCCTTACGAGATAGTCACCGACAACGGATCCCAGTTCATCTCAACACGCTTCGAAGCCTTCTGCGAAAAGTGGAAAAACCGCCTCAGCAAATCTACGCCAAGATACCCTCAAGGGAACGGACAAGCCGAAGCAGCCAATAAGACGATTCTCGACGGTCTGAAAAAAAGGCTCGACGCCAAGAAGGGACCGTGGGCAGACAAACTCGATGGAGTCTTTTGGTCTCATCGGACAACTCCGCGCCGAGCCACCGGGGAAACTCCATTCGCTTTGGTCTACGGATCGGAGTGCGTAATTCCCCCGAAGTGGATTTCCCAGGTATCCGACGAAGACTTCTACCAGGACAGGAGGGCTTGAACCACTTAATGATGCTAGATGAGCTCGACCTAATCAACGAGAAGCGCGATCAAGCCTTAATTCGAATCCAGAACTATCAACAAGTGACGGCGAGATACTACAACAAAAACGTTCGAAGTCGAAGATTCAAAACAGGGGAGCTCGTCCTCCGAAAGGTCTTCCAAAACACTGCCGAGAAGAACGCAGGAAAGCTCGGAGCAAATTGGGAGGGTCCTTACAAGGTCACAAAAGTGGTTCGTCCAGGAGTCTACGAACTCGCGACACTAGCTGACGAGGCGATTCTAAGATCGTGAAACGCAATGCATCTGAAAAAATACTATCACTAAGGATGCAGCACGACCAGCATGAACTACGGGATGGCTTGATGCCTGCAAAGGGTACGTAGGCAGCCCGTCTTCGGACGGGTTCAGCTGTCCCCCCTCCTAAAAAGGGGGGGGGGGGAGTGGGTACGTATACACATACCTCCTTTAACTCTACTATTTTGACTTGCTCACTTAGGAACGTCGCCACTTCGGCATATTCTCAGTTCGTTTTTAATCATCTACTTATTTCACTTTTACCCTTGATTTCTGGTTCGTTTATTATCGCTTCGGCTAGCTTCACATTGTAACAAGCTCGGATTTTTGAATTCTTTAACTCACCACTTCGGCATGATATCATGACCTGATTACCTCGGACCTTTAACGGTCCTCAATTTCAGTACGGCAAACTAAGCCTTCGAACGCCTCGTCTCGTTGATGGCCACAACGGGGCAACAAGTACAAAGTTCTCTAAACGGACTTTTACCACCTTTTCTAGGACGAGGGTACAAGTTACATCCTCTACGGATAAAAATCAAAGCGCGCTATACAAATATCAGACCAAAAACGTATCAGGTCACCACGGTTTACTATCGCACACGAGAATATAAGTCGAGACTACATCGCTTTCTCTAAAACCGAAGTAAAACTGTTAAACCCGGATAAACATACTCGTCCTCTCGAGAACACCGGTCCATAGACAGGTTCGATAACACTTCATCCTTGGCTAACAAAAGCAAAACGCCTCGTCGTTTTCACGGCTCGGCACCATTCAAAACAAAAACGCCTCGTCATTTTCACGGCTCGGCACCATTCAAAACAAAAACGCCTCGTCGTTGTCACGGCTCGGCACCATTTAAAACAAAACCGCCTCGTCGTTTTCACGGCTCGGCACCATTCAAAACAAAAACGCCTCGTCGTTGTCACTGCTCGGCACCATTCAAAACAAAACCGCCTCGTCGTTTTCACGGCTCGGAACCATTCAAAACAAAAACGCCTCGTCGTTTACATGGCTCGGCAACATTCAAAGCGAAAACGCCTCACCGTAAACACGGCTCGGAATTACCAGCAAAGATTTGCCTAAACATTATCACGTAACACTCTTTTACTATCAAAGATTTGCCTAGAACCTAAACGAGGTCCTTAAAACAATTCATCCCTTAGCCCATGTTTCGGTCAATTTCGAAAATACAGTTAAGGAAGAAATCAAAATCGCTCTCAACATAACAGCCTTCGTCCTTGACAAGTTTTCGTAAACATTTTTACGGATTAATGGACAAGTAAGTCCGAAAACGGCTAAGGAAAATATATTCATTAAGCGAAAATAAAGAGTCGGGTGGATAAAGCCGTCTAGGCACAGAACACATAAAAGTTCAAAAGAGAGCGGATAAAATCCTAAGTACAGAAGCAAGCAAGAAAAATTTGTGAGCCAAAACTCACGCCGCGGATTGCGTTTCACGATCGGCGAGAAGGTTCGAGGGAATCGGCGTACCCGCGTTCGAGCCATTCGGGTCCACAACGCCTAAATTGGCCGCTGTTTCTTTGAGCGGCTCGTTGCCGAGGGTGGTGTCGACCGAGTTCGGCGATACGGGAGGGTAATACAGTTCGCCCCGAATCTCGGAAGCAATACGCTCGTACGCCTCATCGTCGGCATACTCACTCTCCCAGCTTTTCAGCTTCGCCTCCTCGTCGTCAAGCGTCGGGGCATCCGGCTTCTTTAGGTCGGCAACCATCGCAAGATTGCCCTTGATCTGTCCCAGATTGTTCTCATCATTTTTGGCCTTCTCGAGCTTGACCAAACCCTCCTCCACCTTGGCAAGGCGTTCCTGAAACTTCGCCGTCAGCTCGCGCCTCGCCTCCTTCTTCGCGCGTTTGACCTTGGCTTCGAACAGCGCGTCTTTGGCCTCGATACGCCTTTTAAGCAACGCCACCTCGGCGCTTTTGGCTCTCCTTGCTTCCTCCAGGCGAATCACCGAGGCGGAAACTTTGTTCACGTCTGCTCGGAGAACTATCTTCTCCTCTTCCAACCTCGACACTCGGGTCATCGCCTCGGTGAGTTTCCCCTTCGCTGTCGCGGCTTTGTTTTGCGCCTCTTCCAGCTTCACCTTTGACGCCGCGGTCTCATTTCGAGCCTCGTCCAAGCGACGTTCGACCTTAGACAGGTCTGCCTCATACTCGGCCATCAGGTCGTTAATAGCCGCGACAAACTGCAAAAAACAAACTCGCGTTAAAACTTAGCAAAAGTTTACGAAAATAAAGGAAAGCGAATAGAAACGTACCTTGGTACCACGCTGCGCCATCGCGCCATATGACCTCGGCCTCCTCAGCTTCTCCGGAGGAGGAAGACGCGTGTTCGCGTTATTTACACGCGAGAACATGACGGCAGAAGCGTCGGGGTCGTCAACAACCAATTTACGCGCGGCAGGGTCCCTGGGCGTCGGTTTCCGCCTCTTCTTGGACGGCTCGTCCTTTTGGACGGCGACGCCTTTCCCCTTGTCAGTAGCCGAACGTTTTCGGCTAGAGTCATGCTTCTGGACGACCGAAGTCGGTGGCCTCGTCGACTTCGGGAGGGCCAGGATGGCGGATTGCGAAGGAGTCTTACTCCGCGCCGCCGAGCCGTCCCCGGACACCTCGGGGATAATTTTGCCCGGTTCCACCTCGGGCACTACATCTTTCTCAGCCGCCTCGGCAGTGTCGCCTTCTGCGGCTCGGAGGGTCGGGTTGAAGGACGGCCTCGGTTTGTGCTGGGACCACCTCGGCTTGCGCCGGAACCGCCTCGGTTTGCGCGCGAGCCGCCTCGGCAGCTCGTCTAGCGGCTTCCTCTTCCTCGCGCCTCTTCCTTTCTCTAAGGGCGATCACCACCATCTTCTCCCGGGTATCTCTCGAAGAACTTGAGGACGAATACCTGACGGGGACTCCGGCAAGGATGGCTCGCGCGTTTTCTACTCTTTCGAGGGTGAAGTTTTTTCTCCAATTAACCTTCCGCGCCGAAAGAGAGTCTCGAACAGTAAAGAGGTCGTCGGGAATCGGGGGAAGATAGCACTGAACTGCAAAACAAAGCAAAAAAGCAAAAGTTTCAGAAAAGGAAGAGAATATCAACTGAATCTCCGAGTCGAGGCAAAGCTTCGGGTCGGCTACCAAGTGGTCCCCAAGCAGTCTTGGTTCGGTGAACGTAATCTTCGCCGACCGACGCCTCGTTCACCAAGACGTAGAAGAAGCGTTTAGTCCAAAACTGATCCTTGCTGGGAAAACCGCCAATAATCCGTCGCTTCGGCTTGTTGGAAATATAGAACCTATTTCCTTTCGGAGCTTTTCTGATTTCCAGCAAGTTCAGCAGGTGATTCAGCTCGATGTCAAGACCGCATTCGAAGCTTCGGACTAAAATGCCGATCATATGCCGTAATCCCCTCGGCATAATCTGCCCAATCGAGATCCCGTGTTTCCAAAGGTATTCGAGGATCACTCCGGGGATCGGGAACCAGAGAAAGCAAAGCTCGAAGAACGCCTCGTACAGTGTGAAGTGATTCTCCGGAGGCTTGTCGGCTCGGTCGCTCTTCTCGGGAACGACAAACTCCACCGCCTCGGATATCCCGAAGCGATGCCTCAACGCCTCGAGCGACTCAAGGGAAGAAAGCGTAGAGCCAGGCGGATCAGGCTTTTGTCTTTTAACTCGTGGTCCTCGCCCAGATGTGGAAGCGCCTCGGGACGCCATGAGACGTTCCAACTCGAACTTCGCCTCGAGTAGGTCAAAGGGAAATGCTTCCTCCTCGGCTTTTACTATGGCGCGATTAACACCTTCATCAGAAATCGGGTCCTGGGGACGGCTCGTCGAAGCCAACGGCTCGTCATCTGCAGAACCCTCGTTTGATGGATTCGCGTCATTCGACGCCTCGTCAGATGAACTATTGGAAGGGTTCGGCGAAACAGACGCCTCGGAGGATTCTGTTGAACTTCTCGCCTCGGCATCTACGCGGCTCGGCTCGTAATGAAAAAGCGAGTCCAACGAATCGTCGGAGCGGCTCGACATGATTTACAAGTTATACAAGAATTACAGAAGGACTCGGCGAATCTCTGCCGGAAAAAGATCTAGGACGGCGGAGACCTCGGAAACCCTAGCCGGAAAATAAATAAACTAGAGAGAGAAAGAAGAGAGAAGGGAGAGCTACCTTTAGTGAAAATGAGTGAGTCTGGAAATAATGAGGAAGAGTGAAGGAGCTCACCTATTTATAGAAAAAACGAAGCGCGTGAATTCCGCGTAAACCTCGGGAAGCCGTCCAACAGAGCGTGGGATCCGCGGTGAACTGGCTATACCGGACTGCGTCGTTGGCACGCGCCGAAAGATCAGGAATTTCCTCTCGGAAGACCAACAGTCAGGGTACCCAGGTTAACGGAACGGCTCAGTATTGACTCTTTCTCTCTTGAATCGCCTTGTCGTTAACGAAACGGCTCGGTATTGAATCTGTTCTCTTGAAACGCCTCGTCGTTAACGAAACGGCTCGGCGTTGAATCTGTTTCCTGAAACGCCTCGTCGTTAAAGAAACGGCTCGGCATTGACAATCTTTCTTGATACGTCTTGCCGCTAACAAAACAGCTCGGCACGAGCTTTCTCTCGAAACGCCTCGCCATTTATTCCGCTCGGCATAACCTCCTCAAATCACCTCGTCAGGGGCTATCACTATTAAAAAAATCGCCTCGTCCTTA